GGAGTGGTGAGGTGAGTAGTGGTGAAGGACTATGAAGTGGTGAGGTGAGTAGTGGTGAAGGACCATGAAGTATTGAGGACTGATGAAAGATTATGGACTTTTGAGGACTAGTGAAACACCATGAAGAGATGTGGACAACTGAAGGACTTTGGGGTGTTGAGCAGTGGTGAAGGACCATGAATTATTGTGGACTGGTGAAAGACTACGGAGTGTTGAGGACTGTTGAAAGACTATTGAATGTTGCGGACTAGCGAACCATATGGAGTGCTGAGTACTGGTGAGGACTACGGAAATTTGATGACTGCTAAAGGATCATGGAATGTTGAGGACTGGTGAAGGACTATAGGTGTTGAGGAATGAAGCACTATGAAGTGTAGAGGACTGCGTAATATGCGTGTGTATGATACCAAATATATCTTTAACATGTAGATTATTGTCATCTTCGTTAAAAAAGTAATTTGTAATCTTTAGGGTTAAAAAATGTTAGTGATGTCAGCACTAAACGTGATCGTATGTAAATTTTATTCAAGGGTTGCTGATCGGTTAATTAACCAATACCACAAGTAAAATATGCCAAAGTGTTAATTTACGTCTCTATCTGTACGCATCTGTACATCTGTTGTTTACCTATTATATTATATCTACCTTTTAGCTATACCTGTCTGTCTGTTTTATCTTTCACTCTCTCTCTCTTTCTTTCTTTTTTTTCTTCTTACCTCTCAGTTTTACAGATCGAGAAAGCCAGCCTTTATTTTTGAAGGATATATATATCACAAAAACAGTGTGGGACACAGATGTCCCTTTAGAAATTGTTTTTATCCCTCACATAGTGATTTCCTCTTAATGGTCCTGAGCAACAGAAACTATGCTAGAACTATGTCAGGAATGTACAATAATGGAGAATCTCGAGCGACGTTCACCGGTGCACGTGAACACAGAATGCATGGCTAACGCACTGAAGGGTTCTCCTTTCTGAAAAGCGCGTCACGTGCACACTATAGCCTAGCCTTCTCGTGCTCACAAGCAAATCCAAACTACGCTTGGAATCTCAATATATATATTTAATTATTCCAGGCTTCTCATCATGACTCTGCTGATGGCTGGGTAGGCTGGCAACGTTTCAACTACAACAAAGTCTGGCGCTGTAGCGTTTCG